AGGATGACAACAATGACAACAAAACAGTATAGAGAAACAGCTATTGCCAGAATTAAGTAGTGAGATTTGTATTACTTTTGGGCACCATAATACTGCAAAAGCTTTGCTGGACTCAATCTCGATAATCTCCCCCCTCCCTTCGCTTTCTTGACCCCTGTGTAGTCCAGACTTGCTGTGTAGTCCAGGCTTGCCTTGAACTCACTATGCCCAGGCTGGCGTCAAACTTGTGGCTGGACCCAGTGAAGTCTAGGTTAGGGAATCTATCATCTGTGTTCCCGTATGTCTTGAGACTTCATTCATATTCTGTGGTAATTGTTCATTTGCATACTGTATTTATAAGCCCCATCGGATAGTTGAATTGTGCCTGTTTTATTATTTGACTTAATAGGCTAAACCTACTATGTTATAGGTACAAAATAGAAACTTGGGAAGTGCTACTCTTAGTGTACCTACATTATTGTTATGAGATTAGATTTTAATTTGAAAACCATTTTAGTGTTGAGATGGAAGTTTGTAACATTTCTCATAGAGCCATGCAGCACAAATTGCCATTTCACCCTGCACATGCATAATGTGAATTCTGTTTGATAAGCATATACAGCAGTACTTCAGTGGTTTTGTTTTTGGTACTGAACTCAGGGTCTCACACTTTCCAGGCAGGCACTGTAGTGCCAAGCTACATTCCTGGCCTAGTACTTTAGTGTTATGGTGGAAGTTTGTTGAGAGATGTTGGCCTGTGGAAAAGTGCAGCTTTACTAAATATTACTAGACAGTGCTGGAGGAAACCAGAGAGCAGAATGTGAAGAAGTTGCATTATGTGTTTGTTTTTTTTTCTTTTTTCTTTCAGTATTGGGAATTGAACCCAGGGCCTCTGTACTAAATTACATTGTCAGTCCTTCTTCAATGTGAGACAGTGTCCTAAAGTTGCTAAGTTGTCCATATTGGTTTCAAACTTGTGATCCTCCTACCTCAACTTCACAGAAAACAAACGTGTGTGTGTGTGAGTGTGTGTGTGTATTGTTACTGAGCGTCTGCCATGTTTTAGGTATTAATGCTGTTGTATTACATATATGTTCTCTATCTTTATAGCTTTCTGAGAAGAGCTATTATTATCCATCCTTTATAGATGAAGAAACTGACACCTTGAGAGGTGTTGTTGAGATCACAAAAAGAGCCAGTATTATTTTTGTTGTTTATTGATTAAATTAATGCATTTTTATTATTTCTATAGAGAGCTGAAATAAGGGGAAATAGAGAAATAGCTGAAATTAAAGTAGCAAGTAACTAAGAGATGGCTGAAATTTACTTTTTTTGATTGACTGATTGATTGATTGAGATAGGATCTTGCTATGTAGTCCAGGCTGGCCTCGAACTCTCAGTGATCCTTTTGCCCAAGCCTCCCAAGTGCTTGGATTACAGGTGTGCATCACCATGCCTGGCTATGATTTGATTTTTTACTTAAAATGATTCAGTATTAATTTTAACACCTAAAAAGAACACTAAGCATCAGAAATGAGATGGTATGATTAAAGACTGCTAAATTATTGCCAAAATGAGAAAGTAGGATGTAGAACTCTTGATACTTGACTGAAGAGGTTTATTTTAAATATTTTTAGTTAGTAGTCATCTCTCCGTGTAATTTTTTTTTTTTTTTGAGACAGGATCTTGCTGTGCAGTCTCCCAAGTGCTGGGATTACAGGCATGTGCACTGCCATGCCTCACTCTAAATGTAATTTTAAGCCAGAGTTTGATACAAACAAATTAAAATGGAATATTCCTAGTATTTTTGTTTTTAGAATCATCTAATCTTAGAACATATCTTTTATATGATGCTAAAATTTGAAATATAGCATTTTCCCAAATATATTAATTATAAAACATTCTATGTTAGGATAATCTAGATTACATATTACTTAGAGAATATTCTATATTACATATATCACATATGGGATATTTTAGAGCATTATAAGGCAAGCTTTTATTAAGTTATACCACATCAGATTATTTTAGTCATTTGCTTAATTACTTGCTTTAGCCTTTTCTATGAAAATAGGATTTAAAAAAACAGTGTGTCCTGTTCTGTGGTTTGTTTCCTTTCCACTTATTATAGAGCTTTTTTGGGGATATACTCATTTCACTTTAGATAGCAGGTGATAATGTTGGAAACATTAATAATGGGTTGTTTCTGGGCATGACGGTGCACACCTGTAATCCTAACACTCAGGAGGCTGAAGCAGGAGGATTGCCAAGAGTTCCAGCTTGAACTACATAGTGAGACCCTGTCTCAAAAAAAAAAAAAAAATTGTTACCAAATAAATAGACTAGTTGAACGCTTATTAAAAAACTACATGCTCTGGATTTACATTGCTCTTTTTCCTTTTACATGACTCCCTGGTGGTACCAATTTAGTGTGTCTTGGCTCATCAGTTATTCAGTTGAAAGAAATTCAAACTTAGATTCCTGTGATCTGCCTAATTAAATGGTTAGGTCCTAGCTAATTTGCCCATTTGTTGCTTTAAGTGGCTGCCAGTTAATTGGTAGTCTTATTTAATCTTTCTTTGACATATATTATTATGTCATTATGGAATACTATCTTTTATTTCACATAATTTCACTAGTGCTTCTGGTAACTTTTTTAAAATTTCATTTTTAGTAGGTTTTTAAGGTTTTAGGAAAAAAAGTATTTTCAGGTATATAGTGCCGTATACTGTACGCCTTCATCCTGGATCTATGTATTTACATTTTGTTTAAGCCAGTATTCCCTCAGTATTAGTTGTCAGGTATCACTGTTCTTTCCAGAGCTTACCAGAGTGTGTTCAGTGCTTTGAGTTTGCTTAGTTACTTCAGAGAGATCTTCTTTGATGATATATTTAAAGCTGAGTGTTGTCACTATCGAAAAATGAACTCCTTCCAGATTTCTTGTCCAGAATGTCATTGTTGGATATGTCTGTACTGCCAGGAACATGCTGTTCTAAATTTATTAAAATTGGTTCAGACCTTAGTTTCTTTTTCTAATATAAAATAGGAATATAGAAATAATTGTTAGTATCATGGTAATTTATGAAACTTTTATGACAAAAATACAGTTTTATTAATAGGAAATAAATTTTGCATTTTTTTCTTTAAGTATTTTCTCTTGGTTTTTTTGTTTGTTTGTTTGTTTTTTTTGGTACCGGGAATTGAACTTGGGTCTTTGCACTTGCAAGGCAGGCCACCAAACCGCTGAGCTAAATCCCCGACCCAAGTATTTTCTCTTTTGGGAAAACTGATGAAAGTTCTGCATTCGAACAACAACAACAAAAAAGATACAACATAGGTTGTTTTTAGTAAGCTTCCAGGATACTTCATACTTTTTTTACCTGCCCTATTTTTTCTTTAATGATCGTTTCTTTGGATTGACCATCTCTTTTTTGGATGTGTGTGACCCTCTAGTATCTGATACCTAGCAGTCCTCTTTCCTGTAGAGCCTTCTTTGATGATTCTAGCATTTTTTTCTCTCTACTTTCTCTGAACTATTCAAGTTTTCATTTTTAGTCTCATAGTTTGTAGCACTTACATGTTTCATCAAATAAATTTTAATTTTGCTTTTTGAGAAATCACTTCCTTGTGTTTTGACCTCCTTCCAGAAATATACTGTGGCATACACCTCATCTCAAATTTAAATCCCCTTACCAAAATGATGTTCTTATTTTGGAGAGATGAATTAAAAAATAATTTCTTTTTCCTTCAAGGTTCAGCACTTACAACAAAGGACATTCATGACCTTCAGACATACTAGGTTTGGAATAAATCTGGTTCAATGAGTTTCTTAGTAACCATACTCTTTTTTAAGCCAGGATGTCTCTCGTTTTTTTTTTTTTTTTTTTTTTTTTTTTTTTTTTTTTTGGTACCGGGGATTGAACTCAGGTCCTTGCACTTGTGAGGCAGGCAGCGGAACCACTGAGCTAAATCCCCAGCGGATAACCATACTCTTTTTAATGCTTAGCAAAGAAGGAAACAATTCAGAGCTTTTTGTGGGCATTGCTTGGAGACCTTCACTAGTAGCACAGTAGATTGAGAAAGACCACAGACTGGAGTCAGGTTGCGTGGGCTGTGATTTGAATTCATTTCTTGTCACCTTGTGACTACCTCAGAGTCTTAGTCTGTGAAATAAGGATGGATAACCATACTCTTTTTAATGCTTAGCAAAGAAGGAAACAATTCAGAGCTTTTTGTGGGCATTGCTTGGAGACCTTCACTAGTAGCACAGTAGATTGAGAAAGACCACAGACTGGAGTCAGGTTGCGTGGGCTGTGATTTGAATTCATTTCTTGTCACCTTGTGACTACCTCAGAGTCTTAGTCTGTGAAATAAGGATGATCCTAATACTTAGCCAGTCATTCATTATGAGGCATAATTGATATTATGTATTTATACACATACTATTTAAAAGAGTTTTTGGAACTTTGGAAGTTCTTTATTATCTCCTTTAGTAGTATTGGGACAGCCTGTGTGAACTGGACTTTCTGAGAACTATTTTTATGTTGGGCTTGTCTTAGTTGTGGAGGCAGAAGACTTGTGATCAGAAGGTAAGGATTTGAACTTGGGCTCCATCATTTGCTAGTTCTGGGACTCAGGGTAGCTAATACTTATGCTGCATTTTGTACCCTGCCAACCTGGAGAGATTGTTTTCAGATTTGAAAAGAAAGAGTACATATGAAAGTACTTCATAAACTGTTAAGTGCTAAATAAATATGAATACTGAAACCATTGGCCATTCATTAATGAGACTGTGAATGCCTATAGTGAAGACCTGTGTCTAATTTTTAAAGTACCTGAATCCAGGAGCAGAGATGATAAATTTGTCATTTTGTTTGAGAATAGGAAGTTTTTTAGGGTCTAAAATTTACTACCAGGTATATATGCTTATTTTTCAATTGCACACATTGATTTCATAATAAAGTTATATAACATGTTTAGGTGGGAAATATTGTAATAGCTGACAATATTTTTATTTTCAGGTTTGAAAATACAATGGCAGGAAACAGCCTTGTTCTACCCATTGTTCTGTGGGGCCGCAAAGCACCAACACATTGCATCTCAACAGTACTTTTAACAGATGATGGGGCCACAATCATAACAGGATGCCACGATGGACAGATATGTCTCTGGGATCTCTCAGTAGAATTGGAAGTGAGTATTTGAAATGTCTCATGTACATTTAAATATAAGAGGATAAGGGCCATAGATGTAGCTTAGTGGCGCTGTACCTGCCTGGCAAGATGAGGTCCTGAGTTCTATGCCTGGTACCAAAAAAAGAGGCTACTTGTTGGAAATTTATACATGGGAGGCTGGAGATGTAGCTCAATTCTAGAGCCGTCCTAGCACATGCAAGACTCTGGGTTTGACTCCCAGTACTGGAAAAAAAACAGTTATGCAGAATAATACTTGGGTTATAATATATAATATGTTTTGATTAAAATCCATAATATGCACATTGGCTACATTATTCATCAGAATTCATATCTTACAATTCTCAAAAGCGTAGTATGTACCTTGAGTGGTTTAATATTTGTTCCATTTAGAATATTTCAAAAGATTGTGACCCATTTCATTCTTCAGGAGGTTTCCAAAACATTATTAAAAATAGTTTAAAGCCAGAAAAAAACAACAAAACAAACAAACAAAAAAAGGCTGGGGATTTAGCTCAGTGGTTCTGCCGCCTGCCTGGCAAGCATGAGGACCCAAGTTCGATCCCCAGTACCAAAAAATAAAAAAATAGTTTAAAGCATCAATACTTTCTAATGTAAATGCTTTGAAGTGGGAAAACATTTTATAAAAGGTAAATTTTATTGTATTGATTTTTACAATCCTATGTATTTATTGTCATTCATTATTACAATGGAGTACTCTGTAGTCTGCTTTCAGGCTCCTCAGTGGATAAGGTGAGGAGAATATGAGTTGGAGACATGCATGCACACACACACAGACACGCACACACACACACACACACACACACACACACACACACACACACACACATATTGATACCTCCAATTCCAGTATAGTACATAGGATTTATTCTGGTTTTCTTTCTATATTTGTAACTCCTGTCTTTGACAGCAATTCCTAGGAATTTTCTGTAAAAGAAAACAGAAAATGGAAAGATAGGTGGTATGGAATATTGGAATATGGGTCAAAAAAGTTTTTCTTAACACATTTTTTTGGTAATAGCCTTATTGAGATATAATTAACATATCATGTAATTCACTACCTTAAAAGTATAAATTTTAACATTTTTTCAGTATATTTATAGAGCTGTGCAGTCATCACCAGTCAATTTTAGAATTTTTTCATCACCTCAGAAATACACTTGTCCCCTTTAACTGTCCCCCCAATATTCCCATTCTCCTTAGGCATCCAATAATCTATTTTTTTGTCTATTTCTTTGACTACTCTGGACATATCATATAATGGAATCATATGAGGCAGTATGTAAATTTTTTTTAATGGCTTGTTTTTTCCAATTAACATAATGTTTTCTATTTAAAAATTTTTTTGATCCTTTGAGACAGGGTGTCACTATGGAGTTAGGGTTGGCCTTGAACTCACTAGTAGCCCAGGATGCCCTTGAAGTCGGCCTCAGCCTCCCAGTGCAGGATTGCAGGTGTGCACCACCATGCTTAGCTCCCTTTAGCTATTTTAAAATTGTGCTATTTGTCTTCTTAAAAAAATTGAATTATAAGAATTCTTTATATATCTTAAATAAAAATCCCCTATCAGCTACATGATTTGCAGATATTTTCAACCCGTTTATGGGTTGTCTTTTAACTTTTTTGATTGTATTCTTTGAAGCACAGACTATTTTAATTTTAGGAAGTCTATTTTTTCTTTATTGTGATTTTGTTGTCATATTTAAGAAATAGTTAGGGCCGGGGTTTTAGCTCAGTGGTTCTTCCACCTGCCTCGCAAGTGCAAGGTCCTGAGTTCGATCCCCGGTAACAAAAAAAAGGAAGAGCAAGAAATTGTTGTAAATTTAAGGTCATGAAGATTTCTCCTTGTATTGTTTTCCTGGTAGTCATATAGTTGTACCTTCTACATTTAAGTCTTTGTTTCGTATTATTTTTTATCTGTAATAAGATATAGAACCCTGACTACATTCACTTACATGTGTCCTTCCAAGTGTTTCAGCACCTTTTGTTACAAAGATTGTTCAGGATGGTACTGGTATAATTGGGAAAAATCAGTTAAATACAGATACATGCATGCGTTTTTCTATGAGTTCTCAAATTTATTTCATTATTCTATATGTGTATCCTTGATTTCCATTTATTTTTGTTGAGTATTGACATTGGAACTGTGTATTCTTTAGCTTGGACTTTGTCTTAGTCACTTTCCTTGTCACTAAGACACGATACCCAACTCCCACAAATTAAAGGAGTTTATTTTGGCTCACGTTTTCAGTCCATAGTAGTCTGGCTCCAGAGCAGGAAGGCCATGGTGGAAGGGTCTGGTGGAGGACAGCTGCTCCTGTTCTGATTGTTAGGAAGCAGAGAGAAGTGATGAGCCTGGGAGGGAGATATGATGGTTTATCCTAGATCACATGCCCCTGTGACTCACTTCTTCTGATCAGACCCCACCTCTTTTTTGGTTTTTTTTGACAGGGTCTCACTATGTACTTGAGACTGACCTGGAACTCACTAGGTAGCCCAGGCTGGTCTTGATCGCCACAGCGATCCTCCTGCCTCAGCCTCCTTAGTGCTGGGATTATAGGCATGTGCCACCACACCCAGCCTATACCCCACCTCTTAACAGTAAGTAGGCTATAGCATCCCCATAATGCAGTCACCTTCCAAATACACGAGGCTTTGGGGGCCATTTTATTATTATTAATTTCATTTTAATTATTTATTTATTTTTTTTGAGACAGGATCTTGCTCTTTAGCTCAGGCTGGCCTTGAACTCTCAGCAGTCCTTCTGTCTCAGCCTCCCAGTGCTGGGATTACAGCACTGGAATTACATGTGCCATCATGCTTGGCTGGAGGCCATTTTAGATTCAAACTTTGACACGTGTGTTTCAGGAGTATTTTGGCTTTTCACCCAGGGTCACTCAAATTCTCATTCAAATCTTAGAATCAGCTTGTCAATTTCTGCAAAGAAGCCAGTTGGGTTTTTGATAGGGAATGTACTGAATCTCTGGATCAATTTGGGGAAGTATTGCCATATTAAGTTTCCTGATATTGAACAGAGAATGTGATTTCCATTTATTTAGATCTGCAGTTTTTATACTTGATCTTAGCCAAAAAGCTGAGAAGCGATGAATCTGCAGTTTTTAAAACAATATTTTGACCAGGCATGGTGGCTCACACCTGTAATCCAGCACTTGGGAGGCTGAGGCAGGAGGATCGTCACAGATTCAAGGCCAGCCTGGGCTATGCAGTGAGTTCAAGTACAGCCTGAACTACATACTGAGACCCTGTCTTACCCCTCCCAACCCAATATTTTGTAGTTTTCAAAGTATAGGTTTTGTATTTCTTTAAATATATTTCTAAGAATTTAATGCTTTGAATCAGTAACAAGTGGAATTATTCATTTGATCTCATTTCCAGATCATTGAGGTGATAGAAATACAGTTGACTTTTGTTCACTGAACTTGTATCTCACAACCTTCCTGAATTTATTAGTTTTAATGTTTTAGTAGGTTCCTTAGGCTTTTCTATATAAAAGATAATCTCATTCTTAGATAGTGATAGTTTTACTTCTTTCTTTCTTTCCAATCTGAATGCCTTTTATGTCCCCACCCCAGACTGTCCAGGATAGAACATCTAGTGTGATATTTAATAGATACCACGAGAGTGGACATCTTTGTTTTGTTCCTGATCTTCAACACAAACTATCCCCACGGCATATCCAGGTTTTGATTAGAGCAAGAAGCTAGAAAGCAGTATTCAGAAATGAGGTTTTTGCTGATCATTGTTGTTGTGTTCTGAGGGAGCACAGAAGAAGAATTGGGAGGACATATGATTGGGTCACATTATTGCCATTTGAGTTCTAGACATTTTTAGGCATTTGGGTTACAAAGATAAGCATAGTGTATTTCTCATACTTAAAAAACTCGGCAAAATGAAATAAAAAAAAACTGGAAAAAATGATACCAAAAACTTCAGTATGTAAAGGCTAGGCATACAAGTTGGAAGTAACTGGAAATCCTAATAGGTCTTTGGGATTGGTAAGAAATGTGAATCATCAGTGTACTGTTGAAGGAGGAAGACTGCAGCACATTATCCTGGGATTATTACAAGCAGCGAGACTGAGCTGGGACACCTCAGAACAGTTGTTTCACTGGATTTTTTTTTTTTTTTTTTGGTACCAGGGATCGAACTCGGGACCTTGCGCTTGTGAGGTAGGTGGCAGAACCACTGAGCCGAATCCCTGGCCCTTCATGGGATTTTTTTGCATGGATTTCTTTAGAATGTTCTATTTAAGTTCAAGTCATAGGGACCAAAATGACAGGAGAAAAGTGGAAAGTGGAATGGGGATTAGGAATCATAAAACGTTTGCAAGATATTAAAGGAATCTGTTTACTCAGAAGAAAAGAAAAGGCTACAAAAATGCACAGCCTTTTGGTATATATGCTGGGTCCTCTTAAGAACCATGCTTTCTAGTAGCTATCTGTACCTATTGACATTCAGAGGGACTGTGTATTGCTGTGAGAGGATCACAGTGTTAGCTGGAACTTTTGTCATTTGTATCTTGGTCTCCTTTTGTCTGTGAAAAAGGGCAGAAGCTTGGCTTAATCCCATGATGGCAATGAAATGTGTGAGAGAAATTGGAGAAGCAGTAATTTAGTGAGTCTCTAGAGAGCTGATAAGTCTAAAGATTTAAATATTGTATATTACATGCGATATTTATTAAGCTTCTATTACCTCTAAAGCTACAATATGAGACTCATTCCCATCTTCATGAAGCTTTCATTTGAGTAGGGGAAAGACCTATGAAGAGAATAGAACAGTTGATGACATTTGGTGAAAAAAGTAAAATTTTAGGATAAAGCTCACCCTTTGGTGTAGGACAAGCATGGATTGAGTCCAATCCAATATCTAGCAATGTAACTTTTGAGTGATTTACCTAACTCTCTTGTGCTTAGGTTTAAAAGAGGCTACTATACAGGACTGTATTAAGTATTAGATGAA